GTTTGGATTCCCTGTTTGGACTTTGGCTTTGTTTATTCGCCTGGACTCACTTCCCCAGGACACCAGCTCACCTGGACACGCCCCCCTGTATCCTGACCCTTTCCTGCATGACTTTCTCCCTTGTGTATCTTCACTATTCTGGATCGCGTCCTCTGCATAGGGCCCGGAAGGAACTGCTACGTGACAATACCCTGTGTTACCAGGATAGGATCTGGGTTGGCATGACTCCTACCAGGACAAGGTAAGAAGTTTTCGAATAAGGGACTGATGGGGCTCCTAAGTACAGCAGCTTGAAACAGTTGCTGAGAGTAAAGGCTGAGACTGGTCCATGTTATCAGCCAAGAGTGATATCACCTTATGTGTAAACCTCATGTCAAGGTTACATAATAGGAGATTATTCCAGGTTACAACTGCCAAAGTACTAAAATCAGAATTAGACAAATCCACCGCAAGTATGCACATGAGTGATTTTTTCATGACTCAATTCATTTTGCTTATAGGAAAGAATTACACCTATGCTGCTTTGAAATAGATTACAGCTAATCTAGCTAGAAGCAAAGCTCATAAATAATTTAAAACTTATTTGTATCCCACAAAATTTATTTTTTGCATCAACAGGACACAGGGAAAATATGCTATTTAGCATACATTTGCACTCTTTGAAATGCTGAATATTCTGTAACAGACACAAAGTAGAATAAACTATGTGACTGGAGTGATAAATGGTACTTCAGTCATAACAAAACCAATTATGACAATTATGAAAAAAACATTTGCTGCTATGCATTTGTACATACCTTATGATTACTGTGCCTTAGTGTTCTTTAATTGTGGCGCATAATGCCTTAACTGATATTTAGCAACATATCTAGCTAGCATATATAAATAAATTAAAACAAAATTAACAACTGTAGCATTTTAAGAGCACCTTTTCTGTTCAGCAACTCACGTGTATGAAGAGTTAGGTTCAACAGATCATGACATCAGTTCAAGTAAAGAGGAGAAATTAACCACTTTTCAGGAAACCATAATACACAAAACCTAGCTACCAGAAGTAATGTAATGAAATACGTCCAAAAGGTTCCTTCTTCAATCAGTGGTTTATTGAAGTTTTATTTCTCAGATTGTATAATGCCAGATTTGTGGTCATGAGCAAACAGTTTCAGTAGACTTTTTTTACCAGAAAGATTAACGTTGTAATGCAAATGTGATATAAGGTGGCATTTTCACATCTATTTATTTAAAAAGATATCATTTTATTCACCCAGTAAAGGATACTACAACCTCAAGATAACTCTTGTAGCCCAGAGGACATTACTATGGTTTGAATTCAGGCTATTTCCATTATTCAGTGTGCTGGACTCGGAGACATGTTGGGCTAATTGTGGAGAACTGACTCCAGTCATGTCACGGCACACTGAAACCTGTGCTTATCAGTGTTACCTAAATTGTGTCAAATACGTTGCCCCCCTTTAATGACTTGCTTTTTTCATGTCAGAATTTTAGCATGGTAAAAGCATATGGCATTACCATCTTGTAGAGCTCGTGATCCCTTCATATACGGTTGGTTTACAGTGGTAAGAAATTGCCTGTCTGCTCTAAACAGAAAGGAGGTAAGTCTAAGTATAAACAAAAACTAAGAAAAAAACATACAGTAGATACCCTCCCAGTACCAGTCATAATTTTTCAATGTTTCAGAAAAACAAAGACACAAAAGACCCGGCCAGATATCAGGAACAGTTCAATATTTAAAGATCATGCACATTTCTGTAAACCTTTCATACTGTAAGTGTTCTTTCACTATTAATTAAAATAGCAAGGGAGTGAATTAATGTGAATTAACATGGGAATATAACTCTTGATGTAAAAAAAAATCAACTCAGTTTTTTATTGGGTGGACGTGCTTTTCTGAAATGACTGAAGTATCATAGTGCATGAAAACTAACTGTACTGAGGAAGACATCTATAATAACTGAAAAAGTTAAGAGATGAAGATGCAGAGAAATCAATCTTAAGGACAGAACAATCTAATTTGCCAGGCAATTGTGAACAGCTGGATTTGTTTATCTGGATTAATTAAGAGTGGTACAAAATATGTAATGAACATAAATGAACATGCAAACAAGTACTTACCTTCAACCAAAGTAAGATTCTTCAGAGCCACAGAATGCTCCCAGTCCTTAAGCCTTAAGTCCTCTGTGATGTTATTCAAGATGGCAACCTCATTTCTGAGCTGTTGTTCCATGTTTATTTGTGCAACCCTGATTGTCCTAGTATCTTCTGTGACATTGAAGATCTGTATTTGTAGGTCCTGGATTTTTGTGTGATGGATACCCATATCATTTGTAAATGTTCCATTCACAATGTTTAGAATCTGTTGCATGTCTTCTAGTTTATCTTTGAGGTTATCCACTTGGTCGGAGGCCTCTTTCACCCGTGAGTCCTGCTTCTGCAAGGAGATCTTCACTCTGGCCATGTCAGTGCTGAGTACGGTCACGTTTCTCTGATTGGAGAAACTCAGGTCCCTGAGGACATCTCTAAGCTGAGACACAAAGCTGGTGGTCTCGTTGGACTGTTCCTGTAGGTTGTGAACATCTTGCTCCAGCCTTCGGACAGCCTGGCTCAGTTGCTTTAGTGTCTGTGAATGGTTCTGGAAGAGGTTCTCAAGCTTCCAAATGTTCTCCAGGAAATCGTTGTTGGTGGAGAGCTGGCTCATGGACAGCTGCAAGTTCTGGAACCTTTCACTCAAGAGTGTCACATTGTCCTTCAAAGCTTCCTGTTTTTCTGATGACACTTGCAATCTTGAGACTGAAAAAAATACGAACACTGTGATTATCTGCACCCGCCATATCTAATAATACACTGGACCAATTATACAATTTAACATTTTTTCTGTACAAAATATAATGTATTTAGCATGCCAGGATAGGCTCTGGCTCCACGACAACCCTGTATTGGATAAAGTGGTTAGAAAATAGATCAATGTATGTACAGAATATATATATATATTTACAACATCATTTATGTAAAGAAATCTTAAATTCTATTTAACATTCTTTTAACAAGAAGGAGACTATTCTTTTAACAAGACTCTTCTTATAAAGGTCTACATTTCTCTTCTCTGAGGTTCTATAAAAAATAAATTCATCCTTGTGCTGTGGACACTAGACAAAACTAGGCTTCTAATGTCTTGTCTTTTACTAACCCTCACTTCGTTTAACAGTATACTAAACATTAGGTACAGTATAGATGTTTAAGTAGCAAAGTCAATTTCAGCTCTGGATGTTTGCATATTCAATTTAAGGCAATCTTCATGGGTTCCACGCATATTATCTGTTTTACAAAATGTAGACCCAAAATTGTATTAATTGCTAGCATATTTTCTGTGCATTGAAAACAATAGTCTTAGAATATTGGAAATGAATCCTGACATTCCAAAGGTTTCTGAAGTTGAAGATAAGGCTCCATTCTTGTTTTATAGGACCATTAAGGGTTTCAGAGTGCCCCAACAATGTTATAGCACTGAAATGTCTAGGTCTTTTTTAAAGTCTTTAAAAGTTTTAAAGCCTAACAAACATGCTTTAGTATTTTATAGAACTGTGTTTTGCTTGATGGGAGGATTTAAAATGTTTTCTTGTCTTTAAAAACCTATTCCGTCTGCATATGACCTTTCAAATGTACTGTATGTTTTGGTGTTTTTGCGGGTGAAAGAAGAACACCTTTCATCAACCTGATAAAAGATTGATAGATACTTTATTGATCCCGTGAGGGAAATTGCAGGAGACGTCATGAAAGATTGCATTAAAAGATGTCATGAAACAAAATATAGCTAATTCCACAATGATATCACTCGGCTATATGCTTTCAAAGATTAATTTTTTTCAAAAAAACTTTTAACGGTATACTAAAGGTTCAAATGATATTTTTACCACTAGTTCTAAAAAGTGAGCCTATTATGTAGTTTTTACCCAGGTTACATTTGGACACACATGGAGTGTGAGAACTAAGTACACATACAGTATTGGCTAAATCATTTTATTTTGAAAGCAGCAAATTAGGCTTTTCTAAGAAACTTGTTATAATTTCCCCTTCATTATTTGTATAAATAATCACCACATTTAAACTTTTACAAACAAAATGTATTAAATTATAAGTGCAATGAAATAGCTTTTCAGAGACTTCCATATCCATCAAACCTACAGGAATATTTCCACTGCAAGGCGAAAAGAGCACATTAACCTAATCACAATTATCTTTTCATATGGCCATTGGAGCTTTAATTCTAACATAGGTTAAATACAAGGCAGAATACAAGCCAAAACCACAAAGCAAAAACAGATGCACATTTCCCAGAAGAATAAACCAAGCAGAAAAAGATCTTGACTCCTTGAAAACAGTAAATGATCCCTAACGTAGACCCAATAAAAGGTTCACATTTAATGCTTTCAATACTATCCATGGAAACAAAAAATGGAGCTCATCTCTTCTTAAATGGACTGAATGTTACGCTTAATAATTGGGATAATCTATTATCAGACCTTGTTGTTTTACTCTTTTGTTATTCTTTATTGTAATTAATTATTTCTAGTGAATTCATTTGACATTCAGACTCATTTAGTTGGTTTCCTTCTTTGTCACCTCATTCTGATATCATGAGAGGAAAACAACAGCCAGAAACTCAAAAGGGCATGTTTACATGTAAAAAGCTGAGGACTACCTACCAGGGCAAGATGATTCCTAATAAAAAGGGAAAAATTAAAATAACAGAAATGCACCAAAGGAGTGAAAAGTAGAACCAAAGGCTAATTTATACTTTAAATCTACAGATTTAATTTCAGTTCACAATTTAAGAACACGCTCTAATCCTTTTGCCAGTTTTAATATAAAAGATTAGGTTTGAGACAAAGTCTCCATGTGCCAAACATCCATTTCCAACTTTTTTCACATTTGTAAAGACATTTGTTGTCCAAGTGTTGGGATTTATAACATTTACAGAGGATGTTTCAATGCAAACTGATCTGTTGCACCAGGTGCAGCTCAGCTGCACATTCTGACAAATTACAAGTTCCTTAAATTCCAAGATGTTAAAGGAAAAGTTTTTTGAAGAAATTCCATTTCACATGATTTCATTTCAGATTCTACCAAGTGAAAACTCAACAATACCCTAATGTCATTTTTCTGCATAGGTACCGTACATAAAAATATACGAATGGCTATTAATAAGAGAAGGGTTTTTGACACATTATTGACTAGCATTATATGCTACTTGCATTTTAGGTGCAATTAGCATGTAGATCATACACTCACATAATATAGGAAAGGTTTCAAATAAGAGGAGGCCAATCAATGCTTGTTTGGCAGTTAGTTGATCTTCAATAGTATGGTTTGTTCCACACCTGTTCAATTCAAGATGGCACTGTCTCATGTGTAGCTCTCTCATTTATGGTGTTATTTCATGTTATGTCTCGTACAATGTTAAACAAATATGCGTGTGGACATCACCTATGATTGCCAAACACTCTTGGACCTGAAACTCAGAGCTTCGGATCTGACTTCAGTGGCAATGAAACAGGCACATGAATGCAAGAGGAAGTGGAGTAAGAGAAGCGGCATGTTTGTACATCTCGAGCAGCTTGCCTTTTACTCCCTGCTCTCCAACATTTTGCTTGCAAATGTGCTGTCGCTCAACAGTGAGACTGACATACTTCACTGTCCGTTCAACACTCAGCGGGACTTAAGACAGTGCTTGATCCTCTGTTTCACTGAAACGTGTCTGAAACCAAACATTCCCGATACCACTATTCAACCTGCTGGATTCACACTTTACAGATTGGACACACAGATTATAGCAGTATTGAGAAAGGAGGAGGAGTGTGTTTTATGATTGATAATCTTTAGTGCGTTGGTGTAGAAATTCTCTACAGATCTTGCTCATCTAATCTAGAGTATCTCACTATTGTCACTAAATGTCAAACCTTTTTACCTATCAAGGGAATTTTTGATTGTTATTATAACTGCTGTGTACACTCACCTGCTTGCTAATGCTGAAAGAGCACTCAGTGAGGTGTATAGTGTCATTATAAAATATGGAAACATGCATCCAGAAGCTGTCTCTATCACAGTAGGGGACTTCAATTACTATAATCTTAAAAAAGTACTACCAAAGAACTTTCAGCACATCTCCATTCCCACTAGATTCAACAACACACTGGATCACTGCTACACCACCATTAGGGAGGACATACTGTTCCTCCTCTCATCTGCATGTCCGACGCCTCTGTGCTCCTTCTTCCCGTTTAGAAGCTAAAGAGGGCATCACCTGCAATAAAAACTGTGCTGCGCTGCTTAGATGCTGCTGAGCAAGAACTCCTGGACTGTTTTGAATTGACTGGTTGGAGTATATTCAAAGATTCTTCCACTGATCTAATCGAGTGCACAGAGGTGGTCACATCTTACATCAATTACTGTCTGGAGAGATGTGTTCCAACCAGGAAGATCCGGATACGCCCTAATCAGAAACCGTGGATAAACAAAGACATTCGCAGTCAAATTAAAGGATGGACTGCTGCTTTTCAATAAGCAGACAAAGAACTGTACAAAATCAAGGCATGATCTGGAGAATGCTATCAAAACACAAATACAAAGACAAACTTGCAAAACAGCTTGGGGGCACCAGCTCAAGGTGCTTGCATCAAGGCTTGCAGGCTGTCACAAACTATTAAGGCAACACTAGCGGAATTTACACTGCTGATGAATTACTACAAGATAAGCTGAACATCTTCACCCGCTTTAAGGCTCTGAACACTGAGCACTGCTATCAAGGCTCCCAGTGAACCAGGGGGTTTTGTGTTACACCTCTCTGAACAGGAAGTGCCTTTACTGGATTTCCGGACAGGCAGACCACAGGTAGTAAAAAGGTAGTGGCAACAAAATCTCCTCTAGAGTGATCCTAAATGCTGGAGCTCCCCAAGGCTGCTGACTCAGTCCTAGTTTGTACTTCTTGTTCACTATGACTGTACAGCTATATACTGTACAGTATAACAGCGACCACATTGTTAAGTTCACTGATGGAACCACAGTTATCGGGCTATAAGAGCGCAGAGTCTAATATAGGAGTGAGGTGGAGTACAAGGTGGTGCCATGACAAGAAGACAAAAAATAAGGAGTCGTGCCCCAATCAGTACTGAGGGCACAGTGGTGGAAACTGTCAGCTGCTTCAGATTCCTGGTGTCACAACACAAAAGCCAGTCTGAAAAAGGAACAGTAGCACCTTTCTGCAATGCCTAAAAAAATGTGATATAGGGAAGCAATTACTCATGAACTCAACTGATATCACTGAATGGTATGGCAATACTACCATAGAAGTTAAAGATGGCATACAAAGGACTGTGTAAACCGCTCTAAGAATTATAGGATCTGACTTAACATCATTCGACTAGGTCTACTCCATCCTCTGTTGCAATAATGTCAGATCCATTATTCTAGATTCCAACCAATACAGGCACTAATTGTTCACCCCCTCTGGCAAGTGGCACTGCAGCATGAACCCCTAGGCTTAACAATAGCTTCTACCCAATGTCAGTGTGTATCATTAACAGCTACTGTAACAGTGCAATGCTTCTGAATTCAATGCACTTCTACACTATCTACTTGGCTACCACGTATCTATTTTTCCATGTCTTTATTTTTCTGTACTACCTGTTGTATGTTGTTGGGTTATGCTGTGCATGATGGTTGGCTGTGGCTGTCATTATCTACTATTTTATGTACTGTACACATTGTGTTGTGTTTTCTATTGTGCTGTGCAT